CTACATCAATTTAGTATCAGAATTAATACGATCTACATCAATTTGGTATAAGAGCTATTACGATAAACATTAATTTAGTATCAGAGTTAATACGATCTACATCAATTTGATATCAAACTAGTACGATTTACATCACGCTCACTCACAGAAACTCCATCAATTTTGATCACAAAAAATCGATCAAAATTGATGATGCACAAAAATAGTTTTGTACACCACCTGTCAAGTATAGATAATAAATGCAATGAAATCAACGAAAAAATTAAAGAAGACACAATTTATAGTGGTTCGGTCAATTCGATCTACGTCCACTCTTCAATGGCTTCAGTCGCCGGGTATTTTATTGATTCAAAGGTATGGAGAACGGAGATACAAGCTTTGAGAGGGGGAATGGAGAATCAAAGAAAAACAATAATCTCCGGTAGTCGGTTCGTCTTCTGAAAGTCTCTGATGGTGTGTCCCTTTCTCTCTTAGATTAGAGCCATTTTATAGTAGATAAGAGATAATTCTTGTGCAGATCATAACATATCCTCAAGGCTTCTTTATCGCAGCTTAGAGATTATCTTCGGTGGAGATCACGACTTATTCTCAACGGAAGGAAGAGTTTGGGGAACTCTTGAAGGAAACGTGGTCAAAGATTGGACCGTTGATAAGCTTCTTGTGCTCTCTTCTTGGTGACGTGCTAAGCAAGAAGTCCAACCGTGCTTGGGCTCCTTAAGGCGGTGTAGATAAACTTCTCGTGCTCTCCTCTTGGTGACGTGCTAAGCAAGAAGTCCAACCGTGCTCTCCTCTTGGTGACGTGCTAAGCAAGAAGTCCAACCGGCCTTGGGCTCCCTAAGGCGGTGTAGATAAACTTCCCGTGCTTTCCTCTTGGTGACGTGCTAAGTAAGAAGTCTAACTGGCCTTGGGCTCCTTTGGCTCGGTGGATTCACAATGAGGTTGGGCTCCTCAACCGGGGTTGGGCTTTAATACATAAATTGGACTACTTGGGCTTAACCCATCATTTGCCCCCCGATGCCCCATGTCCAAGGAGACTTGGAGAAGGAGCCATTGATTACATTTTTTTTTTTTTTTTTTTTTTTTGGAGAAGGAGGCATTGATTACATTTTTTTTTTTTTTTAAACTTCAAATCTTTCCCATTTTATTTTGAAAAGGGAGTGGTGAAGGTTGAAGAAAGGGAGACGGCTGGGCGGCGCAGGCGCGCGGCTGTGCAGGCACGCTGGGCAGCGCAGGCTGCACAAGGCAGCGCAGGCGCGCAGCGCAGGCTGCGCAGGGCAGTCGCAGGCAGCGCGCTGGGCAGCGCAGGCTGCGCAAGGCAGCGCAGGCTGGGCAGCGCAGGCAGCGCGCGCGCGCGCTGGGGGCTTAGGCGCTGGGGGCCTGGGCGGCTGCCTAGGCTCTGCTCCTCGCATCCTGGATAGCCCAGGCGCGCTGGCCTTGCTGTCCTGGACAGCTTCAGATCTGCTGCACTGGGCGGCTTTGGAATGCTGGGCAGTAGCATTTTTTCATCAAGGGGCGCTGAAAATTAGTCCAAGGTTTGTCAGGGAGAGCTAGGCAGTGGCCTGGGAGCATGGGCTGATCCGATTCCCACTCGAGGTGCTGATTTGGGCGTCTTAGGTGCTGATTTTTACGCCGAAAATTCTGCTTTGCGCAATTTTGAAGGGCCAGACAGCCTTCAAGCTATTGGGCAACTTTGTTTTGACGAGCAACAGCAGTCAGGCACACTTCTAGGCATTGGGCTAGACATTGCAAGTAGTAAGGAACCTTTGGGTGCTGCTCTTGATGATCAAGCCCTTCTCCAGGTGTTGGGCGCCTTGGGTGAGCCTGGGGCTGCCTCGGGAGAACCTACTTGTGATGACAAAAATAATGTTATTCCAAACATTAAAATATCTCACATAATTACCTGGAGAGAGAGAGAAGTAGGCTGCTTGCGCGAGAGCAAAGACAGAGTTGGAGAACTGCTCGTGAGAGCGCTACACTTTTTGAGACCTAGCTTTTGGCGACCCATGAGGGAGTCTTTAAGCTTGAGGTATAAGCTTCCTGTTTGAGAACAGTGCAGAGGCCAAGTTTTTTTTTTTTTTTTTTTTTTTTTTTTTGCGATCCGTGAGAGAGCCGCTAAACTGGAGATAGGCTGCCTGTTTGAGAACAGTGCAGAGGCCAAGTTTTTTGGCGACCCGTGAGAGAGCCGCTAAACTGGAGATAGGCTGCCTGTTTGAGAACAGTGCAGAGGCCATGTTTTTTGGCGATCCGTGAGAGAACCGCTAAACTGGAGATAGGCTGCCTGTTTGAGAACAGTGCAGAGGCCAAGTTTTTTGGCGACCCGTGAGAGAGCCGCTAAACTGGAGATAGGCTGCCTGTTTGAGAACAGTGTAGAGGCAGGTCAAGTTTCTGGTGATTTGTGAGATGATTCACCTTGCCTAAACTTGTTGATTTCCTCAGCATTCATATATCTTTGAGCTTTTGTGAATAGTTCTGGCATGCTCTTCAGTGGGCGCTTCAAAACTGAGAAAAGGAAACTTGATGAACGGAGGCCACCCAAGAAGGCGGTCATCGTCACCTTGTCGTCGGGTTCATCAACTTGGAGTACCTCCTCGTTAAAACGAGTGAGGTAACTCCTCAGGCTCTCCTCGCGGTCCTGCTTTATACTAAGCAGGTGCGTAACTGGTTTCTGGTGGCGACGCCCTCCTATGAAGTGTGAGACGAATGATCTGCTAAGCTCGGCGAAGGAGGCAATAGAGGCGGGGGAGAGCTTAGCAAACCACTGTCGGGCAGACCCCTTTAATGTGGTTGGGAATGCCCTGCACATGATTTCGTCTGGTACGTTGTGCAATTGCATCAAGGTCTTGTAAGTGTCGAGGTGGTCCAGTGGATCCTTTGTTCCATCAAAGGTCTCCACAGATGGCATTTTGAACTTCTGAGGGAGAGGGTAGTTTGCTACATCAGATTTGAAAGGGGTATCAGTACGCCTTACCAGGTGGTCAACAGTCTCGGGTCCTTGTGCCTTCATAGCGTTGAAGACGTCACCGAGTTGATTTTGTACCTCCTTTATCTTCTCGTCCCAATGATTGGGGGCTCCTCTGGAATGATCATGGAAGTGGCTTCCATGCCCCATGCTTTGGTTTTCACCCTCATCCTCGTGGAGATAAGGGTCATCTCCGTGGAAAGCAAGGGGAGGGGGAGGTGCAGCTCCCTCTTGTTGGGCTTCCTGAAGTGGGGTGCCCAATGGGGCACTTGGGCGTGGAGCAACAGGGCGTGGTGCTCCTTGATGTTCAGGATGTGGAGCTCCTTGGGGTGCTCTATGTTGTGCACCTCTGTGGGGTCCTCCATGTTGTGCACCTCTATGTGGTGCTCCACGTTGTGCACCTCCGTGTGGTGCTCCTCCTTGTCCTGCAAGTATGAGTTGCAGTAACTGTTGGTTTTGAGCAACCAGTTGCTGCATGGTCTCCAATATTTGTTGGAGATTTGGGGCTAAAGTATCCGGAACAGGGTTGATAGGCGGGGGGGCAACCTCCTCCTCTCGTGGAGGATTGTCTTCGTGTTGGTTCATGGATCGAGTAGTGATCGCCATTAGTTAATGGACGTAATGTTCAGGAGTGAGAATTTTGTCGTTTCCCACAGACGGCGCCAAACTGATGATGCACAAAAATAGTTTTGTACACCACCTGTCAAGTATAGATAATAAATGCAATGAAATCAACGAGAAAATTAAAGAAGACACAATTTATAGTGGTTCGGTCAATTCGACCTACGTCCACTCTTCAATGGCTTCAGTCGCCGGGTATTTTATTGATTCAAAGGTATGGAGAACGGAGATACAAGCTTTGAGAGGGGGAATGGAGAATCAAAGAAAAATAATAATCTCTGGTAGTTGGTTCGTCTTCTGAAAGTCTCTGATGGTGTGTCCCTTTCTCTCTCAGATTAGAGCCATTTTATAGTAGATAAGAGATAATTCTTGTGGAGATCATAACATATCCTCAAGGCTTTTTTATCGCAGCTTAGAGATTATCTTCGGTGGAGATCACGACTTATTCTCAACGGAAGGAAGAGTTTGGGGAACTCTTGAAGGAAACGTGGTCAAAGATTGGACCGTTGATAAGCTTTTTGTGCTCTCTTCTTGGTGACGTGCTAAGCAAGAAGTCCAACCGTGCTTGGGCTCCCTAAGGCGGTGTAGATAAACTTCTCGTGCTCTCCTCTTGGTGACGTGCTAAGCAAGAAGTCCAACCGTGCTCTCCTCTTGGTGACGTGCTAAGCAAGAAGTCCAACCGGCCTTGGGCTCCCTAAGGCGGTGTAGATAAACTTCCCGTGCTTTCCTCTTGGTGACGTGCTAAGTAAGAAGTCTAACCGGCCTTGGGCTCCTTTGGCTCGGTGGATTCACAATGAGGTTGGGCTCCTCAACCGGGGTTGGGCTTTAATACATAAATTGGACTACTTAGGCTTAACCCATCAAAAATAATCAAAAAATGAGAACGGCCAAAAATCTTTGATTCTTTGGTTCTGTTTTTGTGGATCCTGATTTGGGATTTTCGGGAAGATCAAAAATCAATTGTGGCTCACCTCATTAACTGCCCAAGCCTTCTCTAAATTCTCTTGCTGAAATAGAGAACGTTGGGTGGGCGGTGGCCGGTAATTTTGCTGAACAAAAAAAGGGGTATATCATTGATATGTTAAGTACATGCGATGAACTCTTATTTTATAATATACTCTTGTAATCCATGTTTTATGATATTATATAATCTAAATTTGTATCTCAAATAAAGAGGGTCGTTAGATGAGTGAGTTTCATCAATTTTTTTAAATAAAATTCACTGATTCAATAGTTCTTCTTATTTGGAATATAAATTTGATTATATTACATTATTCCTAAAATAGATAACGTGATTGAAATAAATTTAAAAAAATAAGTAATTAAAATAAATAATTTAATATTAAAATATTTTTAAATAGATATTTTAGATAGCATTAAATTTGCTCTAACAGCACACCGAAACCCAAAACAGATTAGAACGTACAAAAACGCTAGCTAACCTGATCATTCCGAAGATACCAAAAATGACGTCACCTCCCACCCTTCCACCACCCCTCCCTCCGCCGTCATCGGACTCCGACTCCGATACAGCCACCACTTCAAACCACGGCCACACCGACCTCTCCAACACCATTTTCAAATCCTACATCGAGATCACAGGCCAGTCATCGCCGGACCTCTCCAAGATCCAATCTTTTCTCACCTCATCGCGCTCTGGTGCTCTCTCATGCCTTATATGCCTCGAACGCATCAGACCCTCTGACCCCACCTGGTCCTGTTCCTCTCGTTGCTTCGCCGTCTTGCACCTCCTCTGCATTCAGTCCTGGGCCCGCCAGTCCTCCGACCTCTCTGCCGCTCGCGCTGCCGCACGGGCCGCCTCCGTCGATGATCACTCTTTCTGGCACTGCCCGAAATGTCGAATTGAGTACCCGAAAAGCCAAATTCCCAAAACATACTTGTGTTTCTGTGGAAAACTTGAAAACCCACCTCACGATCCGTGGATTTTACCTCATTCTTGTGGTGAAATCTGCGAAAGGCCATTGAAGTACAACTGTGGACATTACTGTTTGCTGTTGTGTCACCCCGGTCCATGTCCGGCGTGCCCGAAATTGGTGAAAACCCGGTGTTTTTGTGGGGCTGTTGAGGATGTTAAGCGGTGTGGATTCAAGAATTTTTCATGCTATGGGGTGTGTAAAAAGTTATTGGATTGCGGGATTCACAGGTGTGGTGAGATTTGCCATGAGGGTGAGTGCCCACCTTGCCGGGCTCAAGGGGTTTATAAGTGCCAATGTGGGCAGGTGGAGGAGCAGAGAGAGTGTTATGAGAGGGTTTTCAGGTGTGAAATTCCATGTCAGAGGTTGCTTGGTTGCGGGAAGCATTTGTGTAGTAGAGGGTGTCATCAGGGTGAGTGTGGTGAGTGCCCGCTTCAGGGGAAGCGGACATGCCCGTGTGGGAAGCGAGTGTATGAGGGAATGGCTTGTGATGTTGTAGTGCCGGTATGTGGGGCAACTTGTGATAAGATGTTGCAGTGTGGCTTTCATAGGTGCCCGGAGAGGTGTCACCGTGGACCGTGCATTGAGACTTGTAGAATTGTTGTTACCAAGTCGTGCAGGTGTGGGAGCTTGAAGAAACAGGTAAACATAACTGCGAATGTAAGATATCTCAGTTTTCGTAGAATTGTATAAATTGCTTTAAGATATATTCAGAAAGGCAACCACGTATTGAATGTAGAATAGGTTCCTTGTTATCAAGATTTGGCATGTGAAAGGAAGTGTCAGAGACAACGAGATTGTGGACGCCATGCTTGTAAGCGTCGCTGCTGTGATGGGGACTGCCCACCTTGCTCAGAGGTGTGTCTTGCAATTTCAGTGAAATTTGGTATCGTTTGTAAAATGATAACCATAAAATGTAAATCACTTATAATTTTTTGATTATCAGATTTGTGACAGGAGGCTTCGGTGTAAGAATCACAAATGCCCTTCTCCGTGCCACAGGTATTTTATGCTGTCATAATTTATAATTATTGTGGGCAAGAGAGTGGTCCATAGTAGACTTGTGTTTTATGGAAAATCTCATATATAAGCTTACTTAGATTTGTGAAACCTGATAATAATTTGGAATTAAATTGTTTCAATCTAGTATTTGAGCATGCATGGGAATGTGTAATGTCAAGATATCATTCCCATTCCGGTGTTCATTTTATTCAAGATCCTCAATTCCTACAGGCCAAACTTGCTCGGAAGGGTAGCTTCACATTGCTACTTCTAGTAGTTGAAACTAAAGCTAAGGAAACTTGTGGGGAAAAGTGAATGTCTATTTCTTATAAAGCTATTTATTGTTCTACAGATGCAATTTACAATGATTGTTTTCTGCTTGTAGAGGTGCTTGTGCTCCTTGCCCCATCATGGTGAAAATTTCTTGTTTTTGTGGGGATACACACTTTGAGGTGAGTGTTTTGTCACTATAGATCCTGTTTACTGTTAAGAGCAAGTTAAGCTATCATTTCCTACCATGACATTAGGTTGCATAAAATGTTTTACCTGCATAGTGGTCCTTTGAGTTGTGAAACCATCGTAATACTTTGTTCTTACAGGTGATATCCATCTGATGGTTTTTATGCATTTTCATTAGTATAATAAGATTTTAGTAATGTTAAGTTGAAACAATGGAATGACAAGCACACTAAGGTCTCTTCATTGAATTTCTCTTATTTTTCTTCTTTGTTCTCTTTCACTAGCCTCCCTCCCCCAATTCATGTTCTTCCACATACAATTTTGTAGTTGCATCACAAAATCCCAGAATTTGAGTGAAGCTTGGTGTTTTGCACAGGTTATGTATGTATGAGAAAATTGGATGTTGGACTCTCTAGAAACCTTATAGTCAAGGGTTGTTCCATTGTGGCCTAAGCTTTGGCGCAATGTTAAGGTTACTCTATTGTGGCTTGGGCATCAAGTGGATGAAAACAGTCCCTGTGCTTATAGGGTAAGGCCGCGTACATTTGATTGAAAGACCCTCCCCAAACCCAACAGTGGCTGGTATCTCATGCAATGGGCCTCCTTTTTAACTATCTATAAACGTTAAGATGCCAGGAAACCAGCTAAAGCTATTCTTCTATGCAAACCTTGACCTTGGTATATCTTCACAAGGGTTAGTTAAGGTTAGAAAACTCTATTTGGTTAAACTAATGTCCCTTACCTAAAAGAGGTAGAAAATTTTAAGGATTATCGGATTGCAAAGGATGGTTCACCATCATCAGTGCGTAGAGAATGAAATTCCACATGGAAAACATAGATCACATTTCTGGAAAATTGAGCCAGCACATGTTCTTTAAAATGAATGGAAGTACAAGGCTTGATTGTTGTAAAAAGGCTGTCCATAAGTTCTGTCTCTTTATTTCTTTCAATATATATATTTCTGCTTGTGGATTTTTCATTCTGTTGCTTAGACATCAATTTTGAGTGCATTAGCTTGCTGCTTACAGAACGTTGTTGATTATGCATGTTAGCAATGGAAATGTTTAACTACCTTTCATGATTCATACATTTCTACGCAACTTCAAGCATACATTGATTATTCGGTTTTTATTGTTTTGTATATTAGGTTTCCTATTTATCGTCACAGTACTCTTTTGGTATAGTAAGTCATATGTCCTTTGGGCTTTGTTTCAGGTTCCCTGTGGCACGGAGAAAGAACAAAAGCCTCCACGATGTCCAAGGCCATGTCATATTGCTCCTTTATGCAATCATGGATCAAAATGCAAGGTAGTATTGGTTGCTCTTTCGTGGTCTATTCCGTGATGATAAATTTTAAAGAATTTGAGAAGTTGAGGTTCCTGCAACCATAACCAGACAGCTAAATGTTATTTTTGTTAGTGGCATTTCTGATTGGTCATTGGTACAATACATAATATATCATTTCATACTTTCGGCCTGCTTTGCATTTTTAGTTGTATTCATTAATTAATTTAGAACCTGATTTGGTAAGAGCTAGTCCTAGCAATGCTTAGTGGGTATCTTTCTCCAGCCTCACAGGTGCCATTATGGAGCTTGTCCCCCTTGTCGGCTCATTTGTGATGAGGAGTATTCATGTGGTCACAAGTGCAAATTAAGGTTTGTGAGATTTTGAAGTTTGCAAATGTATCTGGCAATTTCTTTTACAGTGCAATATCACATTTGTCTTCTCTTTTATTGAATTCCTTTTATTTTTTACATATAGGTGCCATGGCCCTAAACCACTTCCTAATCCAGAATTTGCATTGAAACCAAAGAAAAAGAAGCCAAATCATCAGAGTGAATGTACTCCTGGTTCATTATGCCCTCCTTGCTCGGAACTTGTTTGGAGGTCATGTGTTGGCCATCACATAGGAGCTGAGAGGATGGTTGGAATTAGATCCTGTGCAAACATTTTATAAATTTTTTCAACTTTTCTGCTTTATGACCCAAAAAAAATAAAATATCACACTCTATTTATTTGTTTCCCTGTTCAGACATTGCACAGAAATTTTCAAGGAACAATTTATAGTTTCTTGTATTCTTTTCAGATGGTTTGCTCAGCAAGAGCAGAATTTTCTTGTGACAATCTTTGCGGGAACCTTCTGCCTTGTACCAATCATTATTGCACTTACACATGCCATACCCTGAAGAGTCGGTCTTTAACATCCGGTCAGCATGAAAGAGACTTGTCTTGTGAAGTGTGTAATCTTCCTTGCCAAAAGGTTAGACATCATATTTTACTATTGTAGTGGCCTCATCCTCCTTTCTTTAATATATCCTTTATTTTGTACCTTTTATCAGTTTTTTTCTGAGAATATACCTGAATTATGGGGTTTTAGGCAATAACATAGAGTTCCTATGTCATTGATATATGGTTTACAATTTGGTGAAGCCCTTTTTGGCTAATTTTTGCTCTTGTTGTCTTCCTTCAGGAGAGGCAGCCTGCCTGTCCACATCCCTGTCCTCTGCTTTGTCATCCTAGTGAATGTCCTCCTTGCAAAGTGCTGATCAAGCGTTCATGTCATTGTGGTTCCATGGTCCATGTTTTTGAGTGTATGTATTACAACAGCTTGTCTGGTGAGGAGCAAATGAAGGTTCGCTCATGTCGGGGTCCTTGCCATAGGTAACTCTTTAGAATTGCTCTCATTTGGCTTTTTATAGTCAAGTTAACTGCTTCTTTTTTGAGATGTTTAGTCCCTTTAAGAGTACAATAGTGAAAAGAGGAATTCTTGAAGAGTGGGGAGTTTTGGAGCCTGGACATTATATTTGATAAGTCACATCTTTTGCCTTTTTTACATGGATGCATGCCGAACTGTATTCAAGGATCAAAATTTTATTTCGGTCACCTAGGAATAGAAACGTTTAGACGTGTTTTGAAAACATTTCAACCCATTTTGGAAATAGAATAAAAAAATAAAAATTTTAAAAATTATTTTCTAAACATTAGTCCAAAAATATTAAAGTATTTTAGCATACCTTAAAACATTCTAAAACAATTGTGCAAACACTTTGAAACATTATAAAATACCTCAAAGTATTAGAATTTTGAATCCATTACTGACTCGTTTTGGTCTCTTTAGAAACAAAAATATTTCGGACATTTCGACCATTTCAAAACAAAATTTTGATCATTGACTGTATTTTACACGGATGCACATATCTTAATTTTCCAAATGTATAATTCCATTGTACGTGTGATCTTTTCAGAACATATAGCCATAGATTTCACATCTTAAGAAGTGATTGGCATATAACCAAGTCTTTGCATGACCAATGCCTTATCACTTGGCTATACTCCATATCGCCTATTTTGGGCGGTAGAATTGGGGGGGGGGGGGGGGGGGGGGGGGAAGAAGCAGGGGTCGAAGAATGAACCGAGCCTTACAAGCACACGGGGATATAGCAAGGAAGCAACAAGGTTCTCTCTTTAGGACCAATTGCATAAGTGTGTTACATTATCCTCCACAAGACTCTTGATGTTTTTTCAGGGCTTGGGTATGAGAACATAATTGGAAAAAATAAGGGTCGAAGTTTAGACCGTTCACAGTAACATATAGAAAAGTTCATCAGAGAGAACAACCCTAATCCTGTTGATCATATAATTGGCGGGAACGTGTTACATTAGAGGCGAACAATCAAAGGTGTCCTCTAATCACCATGATTGGAATAACGGTCTTATTGAAACCTAGGAATGAAAGCCTTTCTTAGGGCTTGGCTTCTTGACTCTAAATCAATCGAAGAAAAAAGATACAAGGCAAGACCCTAAGCATAAAAGAACCTTTCTTTGTATGACTTCTCTTTTGTCCCTGGTCGAATGAATATGAAAAGGAGATCAATCATACAAAAAAAGAGGCCAACTTTACTTGGATCTTAATGGTTGTTCGGATTAAAGAGTCCATGAAAACCATTAAACCATTCTTTATTTTACTCGTTTTTGTGCATGCTAAAGCACAACAAGAAACTCTTCTTAGGAGCTTCAAAACTGCCTTCACATCTTTAGCACCTCATCATTACCTTACATAGAGTTAGAAATAAACCAAAGAAGAAGCACAGGGCACAGAAGTGTGAATTCATTTTCTTAGTTTGAGTTAACATTATACTCATGCCACATTTACAGACCTAGAGCCACATTTTAAGCACAATTTAGATTTGGAAGTTCATAGTTTTCCAATCTAAAGGTCTCAATTACTCTGGTGAACAAAGTTTTTCATCTCCATATTTCCCTGGGTCCATGCATTGGCATATTTTACCGGTGGTAATGGTAGTGAAAATTCATGGCAAAAGACCAATGATTGATAGGTGAAGGCCTTGACCCCCGAACCTTCCCAAAGGCTATCTGAAACTTTATAGAGGGCATATATCTTCCTAAAAAAACCGAAGAGGAGATAATGAATGGTTGAGTCATATTTGGAGATCTATATCATAACATGAGTTGGAAGGCTCTTCCGTAAGAGAGAGCCGGGAGATAGAGCAGAAATTCCGGAGACCAACTTGGTTATTGTTGAGAAGATGAATATGCCACATATTAGCAATATAATTGGGAAATTGTCAAACATCGACCGGTCATTTGATGGCCATACAGGGCCAAACAGATCCTGAAAATCAAGTTGATGGCTTAAAGTAGGGCAACTCAGTTGTAAGTAAAGGTCAACACCAAAGTGGCCTTAATCCTTGCTTGTTATAAGATGGCTCTGAGACCATAATGATCAGTACTGTTGAATCAGAGTTTTTCAACAGAAAACAAGCCAGTTCTGTGAAACAGTGAATGACTGGTCTCTCTATCAAAGAAGGGCAACATTCTTTTTCATAAAAAACTACAATAGGCCGCTAAAGGCAAAAGTAAAAGAAAAGGAAACAAAGGAGATCCCCTATTATTGTTTATCTTAGGCAGGGCTTTGATGGTCAATTTTAGCCAGGAAGATTGGAGTGGAGCTACATTGGGCTAGTTGATTCAGTTTATGTTATTTGTTTCTCATTATGAGTTGGAGGTTATCATTTCTTGGGGGGATCAAGATTGTTGCTTGAATAACAATTGGTGGTAAACGATGTGTCAGAGCACAATTATCAAATCAATTATTATGATGTGCTAGATGTCTCTCTCTTTTCTACCTCTGGACTTAATTGGCATCAGTATTCTGATATTTTGATTTCAAATTGAGTTGCTGTTATGAGTTCTGATCGATGTGCCAACTGTGGCTTGTTTCAGTTTATGGTGAGATTATATCCTTTTTTCGTTTGAAATGCAGAAAGCTAGCCAATTGTACACATCTCTGCCCGGAGATATGTCATCCTGGTCAATGCCCATCACCTGACAAATGCTCTAAAAAGGTAATGTTATCATACATACCCTTACATGCTTAATTTTGACTCCACAATTCTATGTTTCTGGTGCTAAGTCTTCTAATGCAAAAGTCAAATTTGACAGTTTTAGTTCTGTGTTCTTCATATTACATCCAAGAGAGGAAAAAATAGTATATAAGGAGGTATTCAAATTTGTCATTATAAACTTCAATGCTCTAACTTTTGTATTGAGCCCCATAGAACTGTCAAAATGAGGTGTGATTTTAGGACACACTTGAACTCCAGGAAGAAAAGAAGATTAATTCAAGTTATTGGGCTATAATAATTAGCTTTACTTATGAGACACTGGTATCCACAGGTGTGGTTCTGACTTCTGATACTTGCAATCATGTTAGTTTTCTAGTGACCTTCATCAAGAATTTGCACATATCTTGAGAGAAGTTTGACAGTCGATCGCCACCCTTCGACAAGAAGGGAAACTCAATGGATTTGAAAGAAACACCCCCCCCCCCTCCCCCCGGTGCTCCTAAAGAACCTGGAGCTCTTGGGCATCAAAATCTGACATAGCCATATCTCGACCTATTGGTTAAGCAAAACATTTTTCTGACTTAATGTTAAATCAAACGTCTTTTTCCATAAGCGACATGTACCTACAGATAATACAATTTCATGACTTAAGAACTCATTTATAAATCCATTTGGTTATTTTGGAGTTCTTTGCCCCGAAGAAATTTTCTGTAGTTATTGTGATGTGGAAATTCTAATATCAACTTCAATTTTTAATTTTTTTTATTGTGGCAACAAGTAATTATGATGCTAATTACACTTACATCAGCACATGGATGATCACTCTGATTTTGGTTTGTGTTCTTAATTTTACTTAATATATATTTAGCGTTTAAGCTACTTAATCTTCATTGAATTTTAATTGCCATCTTTCTGTTTCTAGGTTACTGTTCGGTGTGGATGCCAAAACTTGAAAAAGGAGTGGTTATGTCAAGATGTACAAGCAGCGTATCGCAATACTGGTTATGATCCCAAAGATATCTCTAAAAGTAACTATGGGCTATCACTTCTTCCATGTAACTCAGATTGCAAGAGTAAAGTAAAGGTTCCTGATTCAGAGTTACTACTCCGTAAATCTAAAGTTGTGGAGGTATTTCCTTTCTATTTTCAGCTGAAACTATTCAGCTCCTGCTGCATCATTCCTTTTATTAGCACTTACTCAAGAAGAAGCATCCTGTCTCTGCTGCATCGCTTTGGACTCATAAATACAAAATCCAAGTGCATATTAATCTACGTGTGAAGACCATCCTGTGTTTTTGTAAGCATTACACCAACAAAAAATGAAATCTTGGATGGTAATGTTGCTGTACATTTATCTGAAGAAGAATCAGCAGTTATTCTTTCTCTATTTTTTTTTTCATTTTCTTTTACTCATTTTCACAAACGAACTGTATCAAATAGTTGGGTTTGGGAAATTCCTGATTTTTTTTTTTTGCAAGTATACAAGTGCATCTTGTTGTCTGGAACCATTACTATAACCATCAGAACTGAGATCAGAAGATCTTTTGAATTCCGAAATCAGGAAAAAATATGCAGATATATATCTTTCAAAAATAAAATCATTCACTGTTATTAAGAAAAGGAATAAATGAAAGACGCTGAATCAGGATCTGGTTCTTTATTTCAGATTTCTCATTTTGCCCTTTAATCTTGTGTCTTATCTTAGTGGTAACTTATGTTGTCTTTGTAACAGTGTCAGGGTTCAAAGCTGATCATCTGTTAGACCCCAAAACAAGATGACCCCCATACCCAAAAAAAAAAAAAACTCCACCCCACCCCCACAAAAAGACAGTTAATAAATTAAGATATAAGTAAATAAAACAACAGATATATATCAGTAAATATAATACCGAAATGACAGTCAACTGTTTACTAAGCACACTTCCATGCAGATAGAGAGTTGTTTTTTTTTTAATTGCAGCCAATCATGTCTAAATCCATGAGCTCAACTGAACTGGAATTTGACCTCTACTTTCTTATCTTTCCATTTCAGATGAAGCCACCAGACACTGAAAACAATGTTCCAAAGCGTAGAAAAAGACGGGATAGGGTCCGTGAAGACAAGAAAATTTCAACACTACAGGTTTGTGTTATTTGCAAAAGAAACAATCCAACATTCATTGCTATTTATTTTCTGGCTTAACGGTGGGGACTGTTATCTTGGACAGAAAATCATTGCCACCACGCGTAAGCTGGTTCTGGTTGTTACCATTCTGGTGGCTCTGTTTGCATCAGCGTATTACGGTTACAAGGGCCTATTTTGGCTCTCTGATTGGATGAATGAAGTTGAAGTACAAAGACAAAGAAGAAAATATCCATGAGTCTGATCAATCTCGAGCTATTTTATACTTCATTTGACTTGATTTCACATAACGGTTAGTGGCATATACTTCTATAGGAATTGGATTCCCTCAGAAATTCTTTATTTATTTGTTTTCTGTGGCAAGTTTGGAAATGATTACTCACGAGACATGTTGTGGAAGTTTAAGAGTGGTTAGAATTTTGTATTCTTGTTTATTAGTCCCAAACGGAAGAGTATTTTGACTTCTGTACAAAAATAATGCATCATGTATTGCCAACTCTTCAAAGTAATCCTTGTACCCTACTTATTCTTGGCTTGGTGCAGAAGGTTCCTTTTATTTCCTTGTATGTTTCGGTTTGATTTAACAGTTATTGTGCGAATAGTTAGAAAGATTAACCGGGTTGAAGCTAGTTAATGGCCTTACTATATATTTTACTTGGTTGATGAAATTGTAAGAAAAAAACTGAGTGTTAGGATTTTCTTCGTTTAGGGAAGGAGATTGCTACGCCGTGCAATATGGATGTTGTTGTGTAGATATGTTTACAACCTATGACGATTAAACACCATAATAGAGCATGTTTGACATGGTCGCGACAACAGCAGCTTCCAGGATGCCTGAAAACGGGACGGTTTTGCATGACATCAGGGTGAATTTTAGGCAACACATGCGGCGAAGTAGAGCTGAGCAGTCGCTTTGGGCATACGTGTATGGGTAGTGGTTTGAGTTGAACATGGGTCCAGGCTGCTGAGAATGACTTCCACCATGTTTCTACCAGTCAGATGCATGACAGTCTACACCAAAATCTGGGTTTTCAAAACTGGGGTAAATTGTAGTAGACGACGTGATATGTGGGGGAGTGCAGTTTGGTTTGGATTGTATGGGAGAGAGAGAGAGGACTAGAGACTTTAGGAAAGCTGATCCCAAAGGGTAAGACAAAGTGGTTTGGAGTTCACACTAACCCTGCTAAGAAGATCTCATGTTGAACATTTAATCAATTATACTGTGATTGTTCTGAGATCTTGTTTCACATTTAATAAAATATTTTTCATTGGAACTTTGTTTAACGATAACACTTGATCAGACAAGTTATAATTTCATCCATGTGCAATGTTGGGACCATGTTATAGGATATGTTAAACAATACTCCCAAATCTTTGACACCACAAATTGGTTTGTGGCATAGTTTAATACCAAACAAAATATAAATATCAACAGAGAAACGAACATAGTGATTTCAAAAGATTATTCTTTGTAAGATTTTTTCTATATAAAAGAGAATGGAATGTAAAAGTTCAGTTCAGTTCAAAATTAAATAGTCAACATTATGACCGTTTTGTTTTTAAATATGGTTGAAATAGAGCCGTTATTGAAATTAGTTCCCATTAATCAGTGTTAGGAGTAATGGATCTGGTAGAGATCTAAAATTTTGACATTATACAATTTTTTTTTTTTTTTAAATTCGAAACTCACTATCTCTAATTATCTATTCAAAATTTTTATAAATTTCACCAAAGAATGACCCCTTGAATTGGGATCGAGGATCAAAATTTTATTTCGAAAAAAATAAAATAGTCAAAACATTTCCATTTTTAAGAAAGCCTAAATGAATTAATGATTAAATCGAATTTCCAATGTTTCGAGCATTTCGAAATATTTTAAGGTATTTTTGACATGTTTCAACCAATATTTCCTAATATGCCAAAGTGTTTCAATATGTTTCAAACATATTTTAATCAATGGTTGGGAGTGATTTAATAATAAATTCTTAAAATTTTTATGTGTTTTCATTTTATTTTTGAAATATAATCAAAATATTTTCATTTTTAAGTAACCGAAATAATACCGCAAATCAAAATTTTGATCTTTAATCGAGATAAACAAAACCACTTTAAAAATTTTGCCATTTCATGTCATAATAAGACATAAAAGAAAGGAGTCTCGATATTTGTCTTGCTTAAAATGCGAGTAAACTATTTCCCTCACTCGGTACAAAACGCCCATCCGACAATAGAACCGCTATAACCACGCTAAGAAAGAGTTGGTGTATGGACCCCACACTTACACAATTTATGGATAGACTTACATTGCTTTGATTGACCGATTGAATTTTCCAAGTCCCATTTCTTGTCTAATTCAGCCCAACCTGTAAGCAATTAAGTACACATCTCTCTCAATTCTAGAGCTTGGACCACTATCACTGCATTGTAGACTTCTTTTGGTCCATGGTGGGCTCAACTTTGTGTTTTTTTATTTTGTTTTAAGTGTGAAAAGTGTTTGAAATAAGTCATACGTACTTTAATGAATTTTTTATTTAATTTGATTAAAAATAGATCATTTATATCGAAACTAAGGTGTTCATAAGGTATTTGACCTCAAGAAATGATTAAAATCTAAATGCAAGACATTTAAATTTACAAAATATAATGTAAATTTATATTTACATTTATATTTATATCTAAATGCAAGACATTGGGCTCAATGTTGTCGAGTACAACATAACACCTACAAAATATATTCACATGATTAGCATATACACATACCAACAAGGGCGAGTTGAAAATTTGATTGCTGAAGTTCGAGTGTCATTCATTGCGTAAAATAAGAATTTCATCTATCCGAATAGTTTGTCAATGGTGACATGAATTAGAGATTTATGACCGATGGACCTTTGGTTTAATGGTACTCCTTGAGGTCAAGGGTTCAAGTCCCTCCTCTCAAAAAAAAAAAAATTAAAAAAAAATAAAATTAGAGATTTACGTTCTAAGCTTGATTCAAATAATGTATGATTAAAAAGATTTTATTTCGAGCAAAAAAGCTTAAAAATTTTTTTTGGAGGTAATTCAATTGTTGAATTTAACATTTGATAACTTAAAGGTCTCATGTCTCTTACCACACCTCCTAAGAATTAGTCAATCTTATCTATTTAAGAACATGTTTTAACTCAGCTCAAATTACAGTGACCGGCCACTAAACTCGAGAGCTGGCACAAACTTAAAACACACAAAAAAACCCGGAAATGCAAAGTTTACATACACAGAGATACATGTTAACAGAATTTGCAAACAACCAAGCACAAAAGTAGGAATCTGCAAGAAGAAAATATTAGCCCTTATTCCTTGAAAAAAGAATAATGTAATGCTTTTAGTGGCTGTCAGTGTTCACAATAACCTACACTACAGCTTAAGTTAGATCAAACATCCCAATTGACCAAAAAAAAATATCAAACACCCTACTCATTTACACTCCAAGAAGTATACCCCCATATAAATCAACCGAAAAAATCAAACAAAATCAGTTTTTTTTTTTTCCTTTTTTGAATTATTAAATTTCACTCTGAAACAATGGAGATTGGACCACTAGAGATGCTGCCATGGCTATTATCATCACATAGAGCCAATGCTCGTTCCAAATTAGCAACAATGTCAGCCATGGTTGGCCTCTCTTTCCCCTCCAAATTGACACAATGCATGGCAGTGTAGGCCACCAGCTCCACCGCCTCCGCTTCATTTATCTCCGGCCGCCCAACCTTGCAATCCAGAATCTTCACCAATTCTCCAGCCATAATTGCTGGTACTGCAAAGTCCACCACACTCGTAGGTGTACCCCCATTGTCACCACTCTTAAATATTGCTCTCTTTCCTGTCAAAAGCTCAAGCAATACTACTCCAAGACCATAAACATCACTCTTTGCTGTTAGAACATTGAGTCCATAGTACTCTGGATCAATGTACCCAACTGTCCCAGCTGCCTTTGTCGGCTTATAACTGCGATCAGACTCCGGACCCATTAATGACAATCCGAAATCAGATACTCTTGCAGTCCAATTCGCGTCAAGCAATATATTTGAAGACTTAATGTCTCGATGAATTATAGGTGGAACTGCATAATTGTGTAGATATTCAATCCCACGAGCAGCGTCTAGTGAAACTTTAATCCTCATCTTCCAAGAATTAAGAGCACTGCTACTCTTTTCCACGTTGTTCTTGTCATGTAGATGATCATACAGTGCTCCATTCTTCATATACTCATAGACCAACAGCCTTTCATCCCTCTCTTCACAATATCCAACAAGGCTCACCAAGTGTTTGTGGTGAAGCCGAGACAAGAATGCCAATTCTGAATCAAATGCACTCTCTTTCTCTTGAAACTTCTTTGTCTTAGCACCTGTCTCACCTCTTTTGATGGCAACCTCGCGCCCATCGGATAGTTTGGCTTTGTACACAACACCAAAGCTGCCAGCACCAATCTTGTTCTCTAGGGCGAAATCGTTTGTGGCAGCAGCAAGGTCTGAAAACGAAAATTCTTCTGCCCTGTCCGCGTGTTTTGATGAAGGTCCACTCCTCTGGCGCCTCATCAGCCTCGAGCCCTGGCGCCTAAGAGTGGATGATCTTGACATAGGACTACTATTGGATGGTTGGGGTCCATTAGAACCAGTTATAGTGGGTTGCACCGAATTATGAATTTTCTTGTGCCCAAAACAAACACCAGTCCACAAGCAATAAATTATAGTACAAATGCCTGAAAATGTCCCAATCGATCCAACAATGGCAAAAGCCAATAAACCTCTGGTTAGACTTTCAGATCGACGTGATGGTGGGGGACTAACCGTTGGTGGTGGTGGCGGCTGCGGCGGTGAAGTGGGTGGGATTGAAAATGCTACATCACAAGGCCTACATATATTACCATTACCAGAACAGAGAGATTGAGACTGAGGATATATACCACACTCGCATGTAGCCTCAACACAAGGCCCTGGAAGAGTCATTGGCAACGGAAGCTGAGAAGCAGATGAATCATTAGACCAACCTGGCCCCCAACAAATTATCGACAAATTACTTGTAGTCAATCCACAAATAAAATCTAACCCAGAAACAATAGACTCAAAAGAAACCCCATCTGTAAAATTATTCGAAAAACTTCCATTTCCACCCCAACAAACCACTGTACTATTCAATCTTCGAATTGCACAACTATGGTTGGCCCCAAGTGCCAATCCAGAGTACTCATATGCCAAATTGGATGGAACATCCAATTGACCATTATTTTTATTTCCTCTACAAAACAACACCCCTGTGGTGTTCAGTCCACAGGCATGACTCCCACCAACAGCTATATTCCCCATGAGCATATTGTCGAACAGGTTTTGAATATCAGAAGCAATTGGGTTACTACCCCAACAAATCAATCTACTTGTATTCATCAAAACTCCGCAAGAAAACCCCAACCCAGATGATAATGATCGAAAACTTGAAGACCCATTTGGAAACGGAGGCGGAACGGAGCCACCTCTCCAGCATCTGGGCTCTCGTGTACCATTTGTCAAAGCGCAAATTTGATAATCACCAACAGAGAGTTCTTCAAGAGGCACAGAATTGTCGTAGTACAGCCGTTTGGGGCCGAAAGTGGAGTTCCAGCAAAGAAGGCTGGACCCACCGGACCTTATACCGCATATTGTGTCATAGCCACCGGCGATGGAGTCGAAGGAGATGCCTGGGTAGATTGTGGTGACTTGGCCGTTCCGAAAGCATTGAATTTGCTGGGTTTGTTGCCCGGCCACTATGCCACAAATGGTAATGGCCGAACCGTAGCTGACGGCGACTGTGGTTGCGGAGCCGCCTAGGCCTCGGACTAATGGCAACGGAGAGAGAATTGCCATCAGGGTCGTTATGGTGGCGATGACGGCGGTGGAAAGCGTCGTCATCTAATTGGTTGAGAATTACAAATTCCCTTCATTGGTGGGAAGGGTAGAGAGAGAAAATGGAGTTCAGAGAGAGAAAGAAATTGTGAATATTCATGGTGTGTATTATATGTATATGCTGTATGTATAATTGTATATGTCTGTATTCGCGTTTACCAGTTAGAAGAAGAGTTTTGTTGAACTGAAAATGGCTGCTAGGGGAAAGGAAAAGCTACCTGGACTCACTGTTTCACATTAGTCTGTACTTGCCCTTTTGGCTGACACGTGTAAACTTGTTTTTCTCTTTGACTGAAATTCAATGCGTTTGGTGGCAAATATTAAATCAGCAGTGCTGTGTATCTCAAATGATTAGATTTTACTGTGTGTCTCAGTATTTATTGAGATTCATTATCTATTCGATAATTGAGATTATTAAGTCTAATTTTTAAGTTTATCTAACATTTTTCATCTCAAATTTGTAACCTAAATTTGTATCCCAAATCAAGGAGGATCATTGAATCGGTAGGTCCTATCAATTTTTTTAAATAAGACCCACTGATCCAATAATCCTATTTAATTTGGAATGTAAATTTAGATTATAAATTTGAGATACATAATTTTTTTTTTATTTTTACTCATATTGAATTAATAAAAAATTTGTGATTTATTTTAAGAGCAATGCTATGATAACTTAATTAGAGGTCTAAATTTTAACACTTTTAATTACCTTTATGTACCTATCACCCTTGTATCTCGGGTTACGGTGACCATGAACTTATTTTGTTACAGTAATTAAATTAGTTGTGAATTTTAATGGTAGGTAAAATTTATTATCAATTCAATTGTTGCATTTAATTAAGTTTAAATAATATTTTTTTATTTTATAATTTAGAGAGTGATTTAAGATGAGTTCTTATCTGTTTTAAAATGGGATTAGCTAAACAAGGTCTTGAATTCTAAGTTCAATTCAAATGGGGGGTTCTAACTTCTAACTGGGTCAAAAAACATGAACTCTGTGGCTGCACTCTGTGTGTGTGTGTGTGTGAGAGAGAGAGAGAGAGAGAGGTTGGGCTTGCTGATTGGTTCATTTGTGACTTTTTTAAAGAATCTAAGATGAGTCAAACACGTTTGAGAGTGACTCATTGAAAAGGAAAATGGTGTGCTTTATTGATGGGAAAATTCATATGACATTCTGGGAAGTAGTGCAATTACATTTATATCCTTGATCTCTTTACCAGGAAAGGCCCTTCCGCCAACAATCAATAACCATCCAAGAATCTTCGCCAAGTCCTTGGACTAGCCTGGAAGGATTACGGGTGTAATTCGAACAGCTTGGGAGGATTAAGAGGTTAATAATTTTAGTTTAACTCTAAGTTTATAATTTTTAACTTTAACTTTAACTTTAATCTTATCTCAATTCGAGTACTGTCTAAGTTCAATTTAAGCGGACTCAAGTTAAATTCGGACTAATTTTGGGTTAAATATTAAATTGAATTTGAGTTACTTAATTCGAGTTGATGTTTTGAAATGTAGATTTATTTTTTTCAAATAATCTGAGATAAAAGGTGAGACACAGATAAAAAGAGAGGGAGTGAGAGGGGGAGGAATGACTAGTGAGAGAGAGAAAGGGGCTGAGAGTCTGAAACGACTTAGAACAAATGCCGATTGAGAGAGGGAGGCTAAGAGAGGGAGGAATGACTAGTGAGAGAGAGAGGTTGAGAGTCTGAAACGACTTAGACAAATGACAATTGAAAGAGGGAGGAGTGACGAGTGAAAGAGGGATCTAAGAGTGATGAAAGCACAAGAATAAAGATTTGAAGTGAAGTGAAAATCCAAATTTTAAAGAGTGGAGATAAATACTAACTCTAATTAAATATATTTATATATTTATATATTCAGTTTCAACCCGATTTTAATATTCGAATTAAACTCGACAACTCGACAACTCGAAACTTGCCCAAATTTAATTTGGGTTGAAGTTTTTTTTATCCAGGCCCAACTTAAGTATTAAAAATTATAATTCAAGCACTGTTTTTTCGTGTGGGGCTCGAGTTGAATTTGAGTTGATCCGTCCAAGTTACACCCCTAAAAAGGATTTATTTTTTATAAATATCACAATTTTAGAGATTATGAGTTTGAGTCGTGGAATTAATTTTTTTATTTATAAGGGTAAGATTGTGTGTAAATCCTCTCTAAATCCCGTAATCGCAGGAGTCTCATACATTGGATACACCTTTTTTTAACTTTAATTTTGATGTAAATAATCTGTCTTTGATTAAACTAAAGAGCAGATTAGTCGATGTATGGATAAATTGATCCAAACACTCTAAATTATTAAAAAAAAAAAAACCATCCAAGAATATCTATCAACAAATAAAATCAAATCAAATCAAATTTGCTAGTTTACACAATTTAATATCATTTAAATATTGATAATTGATCATGTCGTATTGAATTACATTATATTTTAGTTGTATTATATTAAAATTAAACTTAACTCATATACGATTCATTTATTACGTATATTGAATTTAGTGCATGTTATATTTATGTATAATTGAGTTGATAACGTGTATAATCAGATTCATGATAACTTGCTCACGATGTGGGTTTACAAATTCAATTACTTCGAGATGTATCAATCTACAATGATTCCAATTATACAATTTTGAGCTTCATGGTTCTAATACGAATTCCAACGCACGCAACTGCTATAAATCATTACACATCAGCTACTATACGATTAAATCAAACTTGAGAGTTTGAAGTAGTAATCGTGCCTTCGAGTAATTTACCGTACTCTGTTTCGTAAGAGGAATTAAAAGTAAAAAGAATGAAAAATAAGAGAGATACATTTTTTATCCTTCAAAGATGAAAAGTATGAATGATACATTTTATTTCCTTTGTGTTTGATTGGATAGATGAAAAATAAAAATGACTAATTTTTTTTTGTGATGATTAAGATTAAGGTTGACAATCGAGTCGTGTTGTATCAGATTCGTATTGAATCATAAAATTTTGAGTCTTTTAGATTTATTGTTCGCGTGTCAGGTCATTTTTAAGTTCGTGTCATAAAATTTGTGTCGAGTTCGAGTCGTATCATCGTGTTGAATCAAAAATTTTCACCCCTAGTTAAAATGAAAAAAATATTAATATATACATATTTTATCATTATATTTTTATATGAAATTAATATATACATAATATATATAGACAAATAAGATACATCTCAACACAAATAATTAACTTTTCATTCACTTTCCTTCCGTTTTTGGATAGATTGATTTTGGTGAGTTAGAATGAAAGTTAATTTATCTACTTTTTCATATTTCTTACTTTCCTTCCTTACCAAACATGATGTTTTATCTATTCCTCCAACTTTTCAACTTTCCATCCTTCCATTTTTCTATCGTAACAAACAGAGCATTAATAATCTAATTCATTTTGATCTTTGAATTGACTGTAAGTTCTATCAAATATTGAAACTTGGTATTGATCCAATGATTGTTATAAAATCATATGACAATAAATTAATTAAATTTTTATGTTTAAATAATATTATTTCTATTTTATTATTAAACGATTAAATCAAGTCAACATAACCGTGAACCTCAATATTTTATCGTGTTAAACAAAGTAGACTGCACAGACACGTCACATGTGTTACATAATCCGCGGCAGTGTGAAAGCTACGCAGCCCCTATTTTGTCAAACATTGGTTTTTATTTTCCAGATTTGTTGTCACCAACCACAACTCGTATTACACATTGTAAACATATTTGGATGCATACAAACATCATACCAAGTTGATCCTAACCCTCGACTGACTACGATGCTAGTCTACCTAGTAGCTATATGTTTGTTTATAAGAAGAGTAACGAGCGTGATCAGATGTCTCATGATCTCACTAGTGAAAATCTATTAGAATGATTTTTAGACATTCTCTTTTATCTACTCAATTTTTTTTTTAATTAGCCAAAAAAAAAAATATGATCCTAAGACAAAAAAAAAGTTGGTCCAATAAATAGTATTCAAAATGGAAAGATACAATTAAAATAAAAAAGGTTAGGGAATGGGAAAAAAATGATAATTTGAGAGAAGTTGATTTGTTCGCGTGGCTAATAAATTATTCAAGTTTTACCGTTTTACTTTGAATCCATCGTTATACAGCTTATTTTTTATATCGAATTAGTAGAAGTTTCTAAAAATCGCTACCAAAAAAATAGAATTGATTCTTCTTTCTTCCTTCTAGAAAGGGTGATTTCCAAGTTTCAAATCCAAAAAAGATAGTTATTAAATTTGCGGAGACCAAGATGATAATTTTCCATCTGATGATGTAGTTTTCAGCGTGAGAATTTGACCGATCACCAAGTCTTCTTCATATATCACCATTGCCTTTCTAAGGTGAACCAAAAGGAAGACTTACAAAGAAGACCGTTTCTAAAAGTTGGGTACATGAAGAAAACTTCTGTTTTGTTTTCTTTCGATTGTTGCTTTAGAAAAAGACTGCTGCTCCAACGAAATTTTGCATCAATATTAACAACACAGAAGCTTCAATATTTTGATAATTTGTTCTCTCTCTCTCTCTCTCTCTCTCTTACATCAAATGTTTTTTCTTTCATTTTCATGGTTGTTTAGAGTAGTCACATTGTGTAAATAATGTTAAAAATTGGGCGATGCCTTATTTATTTCTCTCAACACCCTCGATTGTCAACTCTCTCTCTCCAACCTTCATTTTTATGGTTGTTTAGAGTAGCCAAATTGTGTAAATAATGTTAAAAATTAGGTCGATATACCTAATTTATTTCCCCCAACACCCTCGATTAGCAGGTATCAAACTGGTTAATGACCCTTTTGTTCCTCGGATCATTATCTCATTATGTGAATTCTTGTTATTTTCATTGAAAGAATGAACCGTCCTCAAACTACTGAATTATTTTTCACCATATTATTGTAGTATGTGTGTCACACCAAAAAAAGAAAAAGAAAATACTCCTTTTTTAAGGAAATGAAATTTCTAGAATGCAAAAAATGAAGATGAACAATTCAGTCCACGGAATGCCCACTACAATGAGATTTAAAGAGGGTTAAATGTATTCAGATTTACACTCGTTTATGAAGAGATTATTTCTATAACTCAAATTTTTAAATCAATATTACAATAGAACAATCTTCTTGATGTGTTAAGATCCGCCCTCGAGACATAAAAATGAAAGATGTAACGTAATTGTGTGCTCAAGTTTATGAATGAAGGATGCTTCATTTGATTGCTTAGCTTCATTGCTTTTTCAAAAAAGTTCATATCTAGAACTCTCCTATTCGACATCGTAGGAAATGATACGTGCCCAAATCTTCTGTACTACGCTCCTTATGTTCTATGCAATAATTATTCTCTTACATATACAAGTGGGGGTGATAATGGTGTTGGCTTATATCAATAATAATTTTGTCAATTTTAATTTTATCAATAATTCAAATGATGATAGAGACAAGTTATAAATTTAGGAGCAATGCTATATAAACTTAAAAAATAGATTTAAAAACTAGATTTCATAATTATTGGGATCCACTACCTATTCAATGATTGAATTTATCAAATCTGTTGGTTTTGGAACCCACTACCTATTTATTGATTGAAATTTATCAAATCTGTTGGTTTTGCATAGCAGATAATTAACACAAATAATACTTGTTAGAAGATAGAAATTTAAATATGAGAAAACAATAAATATATGACACAAAAATATATCGTGGTTTGATACAACATATCCACCTTGGTACACCGTACCTACATCCACGGACCAAGAATTTACATTGATGTATCATTCATTAAAAAATTGGTTATCTGGTAACTGATTATATAATACTCAACTTTATTTATAAGAAGAAATACTATAACTCAAACCTATTTAGATACAATTTGATCTTTATTTTTCTTATCACATGTCTAACATACCTATTTATGGTATATTTAAACTCTTCCAATATAATCCTATTTCATATAGAGTTTTCACAACAAACTCTTATTCCTGATAATTAGGGAGTTTGAGTCAAATTCCAACAGCCTCTTCTGAACCAAATTCTTCATTTTGGTTATGCCTAAAATCGAGCTTATCAATCTTAATTCTAATTCACTAATTTTTTCAAGTACTATATGTAAACCTGCTCTTCAAAGTCGCGACAATCCTTTATGTCTTTCAAGAGCCTACGTCTTGGCTTGCATTATTTCTGCCTGCGTCTTACCTGCTCTTGGGAGATTTCAATGGTCCGTGTTTTACCATTTAAAAGTAAAAACATAGTGACTCGTAACCCACGATATACAAAATCATCGCTATTGAGTTTATGTCGACCCAATAGCTCCCAAAATCATTGGAATATTGCGACTTCAACTCTAAGAGCCAAAAAAACTTGAAGAAACATCTTCAACAAAGCACGTGTAATAATTTTTGAAATCCAAACAATTAAGAAGCAACTTAGTCTTCCACTTAATTTCATACCAACTTAATTTTTTTTTTTTTTTTTGTGAATCTAAATATGAATTGTATATACGTGACAAGAGAGTATTTTTTAACATGAATACCAACTTGATCATTGAATCGCTAATAACTTGTTTTGATTGTTGCACCAGGATCATTAATATAGTTTTGATTGTTCTACCACTTGTTGGAACATAGCTTTAATATTATTTATTGGTATTGTACAACAGATAATTAACACAAATAATATTTGTTGGAAAGTAAAAATTAAAAGATAAGAAAACAAGAAAGATACGACACAAAGATCTGTCGTGGTTCGATACAACATATCCACTTTGGTATACCGTACCTACATTCACGGACCAAGAATTTATATCGATGTATTATTCAATTAAAAACTGGTCATCTGATAACTGATTACATAATACTCAACTCTATTTATATGGATAAAATACCGTAATTCAAATCTCTTTAGATACAACTTAATCTTTATTTTTCCTATCACATGTCTAACATACATATTTATGGTATATTAAAACTCTTCCAACATAATCTTATTTCATATAGGATTCTTACATCGATTATCTAACAAACTTTTATTCATGATAATTAGGAAATTTGGGTCAAATTTCAACTTTTAAATTCATCTAGTATTACTCTAAATTTAAACATTATGAGTTTAAATCTTAATAATTTCTTGTGGCCAGATTATAAGAGATTTATCGTTCATAAATACCTTAATTTCGATGTAAATAATTTACTTTTAACTAATTTTAAAAAAAATTTAATTAAGATATACGTAAATTAATTTGAATATTTTAACCGTTGAAAAAAAAGAGCTTTCCTCACATCTACCCCCCTCTCTCTCTCTCTCTCTCTCTCTCTCTCTCTCTCTCACTCACACGCTAAAAGTATACTCTCAGCTTAAAGTAACATCAAATCTATAATATTGTGTGCTCCTTGCTGTCTGTCAACTCTGGCAGCTACATGTGAACTTATTTTTTTATTTTTTTTTTTGAATTATTTAACAAAATGTGAACACAATTAATATACTAATACAGAAAAAAATGCCACTTTAATTACAATAATACTCTTTAACAGTGAAGGCATACTTTTATCAAATAAAAAGAGTTTCCGGGGAACAGCTCAAAGGTGGGAACGAAAAGAACGAGTGATCTGTCTCAACTACTCATTTCTTAATGTTTGGGTAGGCAACTTCCTTTTCAATACCAAGAAAAAGCATAGAGGAAGGAGCAAATTAAAAGGGATCGACTGCATATTTACTACAAACACAATCCGATTACGATACAATTGAGCTTTGTATGTTGATCATAGCTGTAGCCAAGTATAATTCATTTGTATCATATGTTACCATCATTATTTTTCATTCCGGCATCGGCTAGAATTAGGGACATAGAGTTTTAAGATTTAAAAGAAGAATAAGTTTTGGGACTGCTTCTAGAACCTAAGCCTCTTGCTATGCCCCCAAAGTCTTTTTAATGTGACGGTGACCGAATACCAAGGTAAACGGGCCTGTTTTAAGTCTGACTTAAAATAAGACGAATGTTCTTTCTCAACGAACTACTATTCCGAATTTCAATGTCTATTGATTCAATTTGTGATTGAATGATTATCAATTTTCCTTTTTTTTTTTTCCCGTGTAGACTGCAATTGAATCTAACTTGAGCAACTCTCGGATTAGATATATATAAATACATCAGCTCGAAGCTTGTGGACATTAAAAAATAGCAGTATGCGCGAAAAATTAGTACCTTAAACAATGTTTTCAAGGACGTTAGGAACAAACATTGCTTGAAATCATGGTCTGATAAGCTGAGAACCAAATATGATCAGTAGCATCACCTACTTTACAATCAACCACTGCTGACATGAAACTAGGATGTGTACTAGCTGCATCCCATTGTTAGGGACAGGCAGACCAATTTCAGAGCCACATTGCAGGATCGAGTCTGTTTAAAGTTGGCAGCTCAGCTGAAAAGTGTTTATGCTTTGAAGCATGGGAATGGGAGTTAAAGTTTTAAGAGTAACTACTTTGTGCAAGTATACAGAAAGTTAGATCTGTAATTAGTAAACCCCTTCTAGCACCCTGCATAAATAAGAACACACTGGGTAAGACGGTTGATACCAAAACACTGAAAGCGATTCTTGTTTTCAAAAAATAGAAACAATCAATTGTCTCTGCACATAGATAACACACACACACACACATAGCACATGTGAATACTATGCATATTTGTTCAAAAGATGACATCATTATGCAGCACAATGACAATTGAGAACTGCAATCAACATTATTGGTCAAGAACAGTTTTACAGACTTGAAACATACATGAACTTCTGAAGAGATTCCGAGCTATAAACAATTTTACAGAAGAATTTTGGAGTTTTGGCCACCTCCTGAAATGTGGCCCCAGAGACCCTTGCAATAAGGAAAGAAACTTGAGATATCATCAATGGCTCCTGTGTACACGACGATACTATACAAAACTCCTGATCCCAACGAAGAGATATGGCCCTTATAAGGAGAACCGCCATTTAGGTGTCTCCTAGAATAATAAGAACTTTCACTGCCTTCAAATTTACCCTACTTAAGTCCATTCAGAAGCAGGAATTCCATGCTTTTGAAACCATTCAGGCATGTGGAACCTGTCATAGAGCACAGTCCTCACATCCTTCTGCTCAGAAAGGTGCTTGATAAGTGGAAGAATAACCTCCAAAAGCTGATGGATACATAAAAGGCAAACCAGATTAGTGGTGAGTAACTATTGAGATAATTTTGAGGATAATTTGAGGAAGAGCACTACATGTCAATTACATCACTAATGGCACCTGCTCATCATGTGGTTGTCCAGCAGAAAATGGAATGCATGGGATTCCATTTAGTGGTTGCAATAGGAAACTGAAAGGATTGTTATCGACAATCACAATTCGACATAGATCATTTGATAGGCTCGAAATGTCCTTCACATGTTCCCGATATTCTCTGCAATTTGCCCAAAAGAAAATAGTTTAGCGTAACAGAAATTTTAACAAAATACAGAAAGTAGAAACCCTAATGGAAAATGACGACATCAGCTCCATAATGCACTACATTTCCAGAATTGCCCTCATTATGTCTCAATCCCATGCCCAAATTCAATACCTGTACCCACATCAACATCAAACCCAAGATCCATGATCCAACCAAAACCAAACAAACCATCAGATCATCGGTAATTTAACCCCAGCAAGTCACAGCCACTGTTGCCACCACCCCTCTCTCAAAACCACCGCCACTAACCCCTCACCCACCCCCATCTCCCAACTGTCACCCTGAATCCCTTCTCGCAGCACACTCCAGCCATCCCACCGAAACTGCCAACTCCCACCAAGTGCAGAACCTCGGGGAGAAAGAAAGAGAGAGAGAAGAGATCTGAAACACAAATTTGAGGAAAACAGATTGCAAAGCAAGAGAGAAAGTTGTCAAGTTCCACTGCGGTATCAAGTGCAGATTTGAAGCATAGGTCCCGTTGCAGTGCCAGAATAGGGGGAGAAATCGGGGAGAAGGATAATAGGGATTTGATTTGTGTGCAGTAGACTTGGGACGAGTAGTGTGTGGTGTAGGGAGAGAGAGAGAAAGAGAAAAAAAAAAGGAGCTAAAGAGAGGTGGAGGAAGAAGGGGCTAGGCGACGGTGAGGGTGGGGGTGGACTTTCGGGCATTGAGGGAGGGAGGGAAGGAGGCAGAAGGTGGTGGTGGTGACGAATTCTTTACTGGAGTTTGCATTTGGACTAGAACTTGTTTTGATTTAATCAGTCCATAGATTAATTCGAGAACTTCGTATTAGCATTTGTCTTGTCTTAATATTGGTTGTCATTCTATGAAAAGTGGCTATGAGTCAACACAGGCACAAATTTAGATATTTACACCAAAGAGACATCATCATCAAGCTTGTTTACCTTGAAGAATACATGTCTACCCTAGATATTCAATATAAAAATTCAAATCTGAAACAGGAGAGTTACTCACACGGATAGAATATTATGCCCTATACACTTGACTGGGACCCCAGCAAACCAATACAACCCATGGAGTTCTACAGGATTCCACAAAAGCCAATCATTTTTGAAACAGGATTTGATAAGGACGTATTCTCAAACCCAGAGACATGAAATAGAGTGACCCTTCAGGATTTGTAATAAACTGCACTATTAACATAAAACGATTGAGGGGAGGTATTTTTTGTTTCCTTTTTGGGTGGGGATGAGAGAGTGAGGGAGGAGTATTTAAGAGAATGAATAATGATAAATAGGTTTCTAAACTGCTATTTATCACTTGTTATACGCAGTGAACCAAACATCCAAAACCAAAGTTGATAGGGCTCTAATAGTATGATCAAATAATCATCAAAATTTGCTTTATGCACTGCAAGTAGTAGGTTTACCCTGCACACAACTTTTTGCATTTGATCAGCACTTATCTTCTGCAAAAGAAGATATTATACATGTACATCTTTACCTGTGACTATGCTAACTTTCATCATCCTATTTATTTCATTTTATCACGAAATTTTACTTCATAATATCACTAAATTGTGTCTCAAGCTAAATCATAACAGAGATTGGAGATTAATTATTTTCTTTCCTTTTCTTCTGGATGCTAATTACCATCTAAATACCAAACAGGTTTGTGTTTGACGCCAATATTGTGGTTTCCTAGTAGACATGACAATCTAAAAGGAACTAGAAGGAGCAGGGGATAACATAGATGAATGTTGACTTCAGACATAGATCAAATGCCTCAATAATGAGTGCATGATATTTTCATTTCCTTTGTTTCTTTACGTTTTCTTTTCTTTTCTTTTTTTTAAATAAATGCATGTGTTTGGGTCACCAATATAGCTCCATGATGCCGTCCTCCGTGTGTCAAGGAAGAGACAACTCACAAAAGAGACTTTTTTTAATACAACACAACAATAAATATAGATCCAAGGTTTTATTACCATGTGTCAAACAAGATAAAAGACAAGAAATAGAAGTCCTGGAATTAGTGAGCAGGAAACTTACGTGCTCTTTGTGGAAGGCCGATAAAGTCTATGACTGAATCTATTTTCAGCATCTATTCTGTCAACAAGTGGTCGTGCATAGCCTGCAGGCATGCAATGACAGCAATTCAAGAGAATGCAGAAGAAACATAAATTTAAGAGAATGGCCAAGTGATTAGCAACTAGCACACCTTCAAGACCTGCAGTAAATAACACCAGATCAGCAAATTCACTTAGTTGTTTTAAAAATTCATGCAATCCAGGACGTTCAAAAACCGTGACATAGTTCACCTTTGGCTTGCCTTCGCATTCCTGTAAACCCAACATTTAGGCCTTAACATAGAATCATTCTGTAACTGTCCAGATAATTAAGCAAATATGAACAGCAGTTGTGTACCCACCTTTTCTGATGATATACATTCCAGCTCAAACCACTTCAACCCTGCCTCTGTGGCTTGAGTACGAACAATGTCAGGCAAACTAGACGTCTCATATGCACATACTAGAGTTTCATCCAAGTCGAGAACCACCTGCATCCAAAGTTCATCAATGAGAGTGAAAAGTCAGAATCCATCTGGCAAGCAGTTCTCGAACAAATAGGAAAAACATCCAACACAAAATAATGAAGGCAAGTAAGCAGTTCTCAAAGAACCAGGACAAACTTCAAAGAAATAATGCTAATAGAAAGCAAGTAGTTCTCAACCAACCATGAGCTGGCTGCGTGAGAGTGAGAGAGATAGAGAGATATATACAGAGAGATGCAATAAGGTGTGAGAGATAATGAAATTAGAGAGCGATTTAATAACACCTATACAAATTCTATGTTTATCTCCCATTCAATCATGGTGGCTTATGTGAACTAATGAAGATAAGCCTATTCTGAACTTCAATAATCCTAAGATGGCTGAAGACTGTTCAAGAGACATCTAAACCTTCTCTCTTTCTTGTACCTTTTTTCCTGCTTCCTGAACACTACAAAAACTTGGTCCAATGGCTAATTTAACTTGAACCATGTCCGTGTTTGCTAGATTAGGTCACTTTGTCGCAATAGGCGAAGCTTTTTAGATACTCCTTTTGCCTTTCTTTATGCATGTGGGATTTTCTTCTTTTATTCAATTGTTATGTGGTGCCAGATTTAGAGGCAATTGTATATCAGATTTGACTCACTGTATACATTCAGGAATAGGAGGATAAGGTTTTGCACGTTGTATAGAATTAAACCACAACCGCTTGTGCAGACCCCATCAATTCCTTTGAGTTTCGGTCTTGCGACCATACTCCCAAGGCGGAGTGTTTTTATTGATGTCCACATGCCAAGCTATGACAGCTAATTTGAACTCACTTGTCATCAACTGTGACACCTTTATGTTCTTTCAATGCATTCATAGCACATGAATATTTCTTAACCAATCATTGATTAACCATCCCAATTTGTGATATGCCAATTTTGGAAGCTTGTAATTTCATACTGCCCAAGAATACGTTAACATATTTCATGTTCCAAACTTTTACCAATATAGTTCTCAAACTGATAAAACATGAGTTTATCACACTCCATGCAACAAAAATATTCCAATATAACCGGTCAGAGACCAATTTTAACAAAACATAATAAACAATTAGGGAGCTAAGAAATTGGAATCACAGTAGGATAATTCAAAGTATTCAGATCAAACCAAACAATTATCAATTCCAAGTTAATTCATCCGATTCATGAGAGATAGAAGGGGGGGGGGAGAGAGAGAGACAGAAAGAGATAGCTCCAATTGAAAAATACCGTGAGTTTCTCCAGAGGGCGATCATGAAAACCATCGGCAAATCTATAACCAGAAATTTCCACCGCAGCCGGCTCTGGAGCCTCCGGTTCGAGCAATTCAACGGACGGCAACGGCTTGAAGCAAGGCGAAGAGGAATCAGAGAGCAAAGAATTGTGTCGAAGGCCAACGAAAGAGAGGACTTGAGTCAAGGAAGGCGTGCCTCTGATGATCTGAACGAAGATCTGAAAGAAAAAACCCAACCAGTTCAACAGTGTCCTCCATACTTGAATTGACCTCGGCGCGTACACTTCTGCTTGCGCCAGCTCCGCCATGGTCTTCACTAGATTGCGACTGTGGGTGCGCACCAGATTAACTTGCGCTACCAAGACGAAGAAGAAGAAGAAGAAGGAAAAGGAGAAGACTTGTTTAACAGATTGAATGGCCAATCATAGTCTCTGAAACTCACTATCTTCCAATCCTTTTCCTCCTCTATATCGCTTCTAGGCGATGGAATTGTGGTCAAGGTGCTGCCTCGGCAAAGCCTAGAGAGAGAAAGTGCAGGAGCAGCGAGAGAGAGAGAGAGAATTGTCCCACGCGTATGGAAGGAGTGGGAAAATTTTCGAGTTGATAGAAAGTTTTGTCCATACATGAAAGGGAAAATAACACTTTATACCCCAAAAAAATTTATATTTGCAATTATACAGTAAAGGATTAATATGATTTATCTTATAAAAATGAACATAAATTTTGATGTAAAATTCTTAAAATTGAGTACTCTACAAATAATACTTATGTAAAAAAATAAAAAATACAAAAAACAAAAAAATTATTTGACAAAACAACAGGATGTTTGGTTTTGAACCACATTTTATTTGATTTAGGGTGTAAAATAAAAATTTTATTTTTTAAGAGTGTAAAATAAAAAGTTAAAGATGTTTAAAGGAGGAAAGTATAATAATAAGATTTATAATTATTTTGGAACAATCTTCTATTAATTTCAATGTATTAAAAATAATCCATTATATTAAGATGCTCAAAATAGATCATTTTTTAAAAGATGGAAAACTTTAAAAACTTTCAACATGGTTTCAATAGTGACCAACTGATTTGCATCGAATAAAACTAATAACAAAAGTTATATCTTCGTTTACGACGTTCTCCATTTGAATTTTAATAATTTTTTGGGATCAAATCATAAGGAATCTCCCATGAATAGGGTGTTAATCGAGATGAGTTACTCATGCTCGGCTCGGATAAAACTCAGCACGAGCTCGTCTCGTGTTCTAAACGATTCAAAATTGTAAAGTTCAGCTCGTTTATATATTAAATAATCGAGTTATTCGGGCTCGGTTCAAATTCTAAACAAACAAAACTTGAATAATTTTTTAGGTTTGTTTAAAAAAATAAGTTTGACAAATTAAAGTTTAAACTCATAAAGTTCAACTCAATTAATATCTCTATTCATGAATATTTTAGTTTCGATGTTGATAAATTGTCTTTCACAAATCAAGATAAAAAATTAATTAAAGTGTGGATAAATTAATCCGAAAAAAAAAAAACATTGATCCAAGGCAAGGCTAGGCTAAGAAGAATCAATTCTGTGGTAGAGGCAACAAAAGTGACAAAGTGAAAAGGACGTGCTCTAAATCTGCAATGGCCAATGCGTAAGTTAAGAAGAGACAATAATATTTCCTTCTCTTGTACTTGTAATATTCCCTTCTTTGGAGGCTCTTGTACTTGTACATCGCCTATACGTCTGCCTCATAGAACAATAGATTGGTTTACCCACGCGCACATTCACTAGGTGTCATACGGGTCATATTTGTATGACACATATGCCACGTTTTGTGTCCTGTTTGTATCAAAATTCACGAAAAAGAATTTGTTTAAGGTGTTTTAAGTATTAAATATTAATTTAGATTATTTATTATGTGTATTTAATAATCATGTTAATTTTATAATAATTTGTGTTAGATTCATGTCGGGTTTGTATCAACGGATCAAAGTTGACATCCCTAACTTTCACTGACCATAATAGTGTTTTTTTAATAATTAATTTTATGCCCAGTCTAATATTTTTTTTTTTGCATATCAATTAGCATAAATTCGAACCTTTACGACTTTAAACTTTTAGACACGTTTTGAAAACGGTGAGCAAATTTTTTTTCTTTTTTTCTAGTTCAATGGTCAGAGATGTCCAAATAAATTTTCACACATCTTTACTAATTTTTTTCCTGATCAAAGACAGACCATCCTGATCATGAGGAATATCCCTCACGACTTGATTGCAAAAGATTGTCAAGGTTCGAGTTCAATATGTCTAAACTTACCGTCCATCTCTGTTACCGTTTAAACTAGCACAAGTGACATTGACATATTTTTTTGTGGTTAAAATGATATTCGAATGTTTTTCATTTATTCTTTGAATTTCGATTGGTCAAGGAGTTGTCGCGGCCCAACAAATAGGCTAATAGGCTTTTCAGAGGGAAACAACTCATGGTGGACCTGATCAGCCCATGACTTTGTAGAGAGTTGGGCCAAGTTATGAGAAACAGGCCACATGCCGAGGCATACTAACAACACATTGAAGGCTTCAGAATTGAGGCTTATGAGAGATGAGCCCTTTTTACATGAAGTTTTAGGTGAGGGGAGTGTAGAGGGGGACAAATAGGCCAATTTTTTCATACTATAGGGAGACTTGTTAATAGATTACATTTTAAATTGAAATTAAGTCCGATTTATTAGATATGAATTAATATACTTTTTTAATTATCCGTATCAAAATCTGAATCCGTCATGCCATTTTTTACGAATTCAAATATATATATAACAATATCTAATTTAATTATGATCCGATTTGAATTATATATAAATATCAATTAATATAAGTTGAAACTAAGTAATTATTTGGTGAAATTAAATTGCCGTAAGAAATAATATGCTAAAATTCAGCTCTAATTAAGTCATCCAGATTGGATTGAATTTTTGACTTTTAACGGACGTGGGTATACGTCAAAACAATAAAATTTGTTGAATTGTAAAATCGAGTAAAGAGAAACTAAAACACGTAAACGATACGAGAAATATAAAGAGTTTGAGACTTGATTTGATGAGATTCAAGTAAATTTTCAATTCAAGTTGAAATCAAATAAAATCTAATTCGTTCACAAGCCCACCAAAAAGAAGATTAAAGGGTGCATACATGTCATAGTCCAAAAGCTATTGGTGGGGAAGAACCAGGTTCCCCACTAGGCTGAAAACATAAGTTCCTAATTATGGTAAACTTCATGGTAGGAACAAGTACCCCACCCACCCCACTCATCTCACCCCATCCCACCCCCACTCACCTAATATAATTCATAATTACCTTTTCTTTTCCACGTCTCTATTATTGCTTCTTTACGTGGAAAAGAAGAAAAAAACTTTTTTTTACCCCCCCCAAAGTTGAATAAGGATCATTACCTTGCTTATGTATGGTCACACGCATCTCCTACCAAGAAATAGGGAAAAGAAACCCCACATGATAGGACTTTTCAGGTTTTCAAGACCGTTGGACGCGCCGTCCGAATTGGTAGTTTAGTGGTAAGTTGTGTTTGTTTAGGATTATTCTTGACTCCTATGTGGTTATTAAGGAGGATTCAATTCATAGGAATGTGATTTGTTGCTCAACTTTGGTAATATTGTGGTGACTACCTGCCCTTCTGGATTCATTGCTATGAGTTAAACCGAACATTCCATAGTAGAGAATCCTCATAGTCACACCTAGGGGATTACTACCTACTGGTCGCCCCTCTAACCCCCCCCGCCCTCCTTTCTAAAAAAAAAAAAAAAAGAAACTGTTGAAGGCTAAAACGGTTTATTACTATGAATTTTGAATGAAATATGAATCTGAAATAAGAGTAGATAAAAATCTTTAAAGAGAGAGACAAAAGAGTATTATACACCCATAAAAACAGAAAGACATATAAGAGATTAATTCTTGCCTTTGACAAGAACTTATTCCCCGACTTCCTAGTTGAGAGTACAAAAGGTGCATATCTAGGTTAGAACATCTAAGGGTGGTTTAGTGATCAAGTATGTCCTCTTACAAGCAAAAAATCTCAAATTCGATATTTTTCATACCCCTTAAAAGTTTAGTCATTCTTGTTTCTCAGTGAACATATCTTTAAACTAAGAACCGTGCCAAAATTTAATAAATAATCTTATTAAACCATAATTTTGAATTTATTTGGGATATTAATATTGATTAGGTTCCACATTTTTTTGCTATGCTAATCATGAGGTACCAAATGTAGTAAAAAAGAGATACCAAAAGGAAGATACCTATAAGTTGTGTAAGGTGGACATTGATGGATAGCACCACCTAGCTAGGCCTCAATTATTTAGGATACCATGTTGGTTCTAAAGCAGACACACCCATTCTTCTATCATGCTATTGAAGAATTTTAATGGTGAATTACACATTGATTGTCATATAATGTGATACTTGCAAAATTTTCACAATAACTTTGAGTTCCAATTTGACTCCTCTTGAATGCCCAAAGCAGCTTCTCTCCAATTTCATGAGAATTGGAAGTATATTCAATTCTATTGAATGGTAAGCATTTATCTACATTAATAAATGTAGTTGATTTTGGAATTTAGAAATTTAGCGCGTTCTTTTGAATTAATTGAATTTGTTGATTTTAGAATTTACAAATTCAGGGTGTTCTTTGAATTAATTGAATTTGTTGATGTGAAAATAAATCTTGATCATCTAAATAAGAATCGAAAGATTCTCCAATTCTTGTGACATTGGAGAGGAGTACGACTCCCATGTAAAACTTAGTATTATGATAGGAAGATGGTCGAGATGACCTTGCCTAACCTTCTTTTTTATTTTTATTTTTAACAAAAAACCAATAATAGAGTGAATAACTTCATTTACTCAAACAATTAATTTTAGCTTTCTTAAATTACACAATAATAAAAGATGAGATTACATTTTAATAGTTAAAACACATAAGTTTTTTCATAGAATAATTATTTTTTTGTACTACCCCTCCCAAAAAATAGTGACTTGCCCAAAATTATTTGTTAGTAGAGAATAATAGAAAAATCCTCAACTCAGCCTTGTTCTAACATTTTTGAGATAGGTTATATTGGTTCTATTTTGTCATTGTGCTCTATTAAGGCTTATGTTTTCTGATAAATCATAAATTGTCATAACTTTCTTTACTATTTTATTTAAGAGTAATGCTATAAAACTTAAATAAAATTCAAAAAATTGCAATCCAAATGCATATCATCCCTTAGATGAACATGTCTTATTAATTTTTTCAGTGAAACTAATTCATCCCACACTCATCAAAAGAATAATATTCATTTGAATTATGTAACATTTTCCTTTATTTAAAGTTAATCTTTCTCTATCCTCCGCTTACTTTCAATTGCAATTATATCACTAATTCTCATTGGTGTCGTACTAGTCCGTCTATAGATTTTCTCAAACCATTTAAGTTAATTCTCCTTTAATTTATTTTCGATATGTGTTACCT